AAGAAATTATGATGTTGTTTTCCCGTTGCTTAATGAGTCTTTAAATAATATGTTCATCACAGATTTGTAAGCTATTCTAAACATTTGAAATGAATTAGAAACTTCTGTCCAGTGTAGAATTATCTACAAATATCTGTCAGTGGATTCAGCCCAAACCATGTTTGTGGCAACATACTTACAACTGGACCAGAACATGTGACAGCTGCTGAGCTGTAGCTTCACCTCATGGTCATCCTGAGGAGACGCAGGATCCAGAGCCAGAGCAAATAAGAAAATCAACATCATGTTGGTGAGAGAGTCACAGAAACAGAACTGATCTGCACTGCTGGGTAGGATCGACATCAACTTAGCTTTGGATTCAACAGTGGAGGGGAAGTTAAGAAAAACATCACTTGTAGCACTTTCTCCTCCACATTTTAATGATGTAAAACCATATTAGACACTCAGAGTAACCTTCAATGTTGTCTGTAGCCCACTTTCAGATTTGCGAAACCTTGATTTTATTTGTGAAAATGCAAAAGAAAGGGGATTTTTTTCACGTCTTGAAATTAAGGACAAAAAAATAAAATAACACATTGTTAAAAAATAAAGACAGTAAAAACTGTTAAAAACAATCAATTTTACAGTGTACATTGTCCAACATGACCAGCTACCTGTCCAGGATTTACCCTGCATTCCGAGCTGACTTAGTGCTTCATTAGTTGCAGTTTGTAACTTCACCACTAGATGCCACTAAATCCTTCACACTGGTCCTTTAAGGCCTGTTTGAATAATAACATAAAAACACAAAAATAACAGAAAACACACTGAAGGCTTCTTACCATTGAAATCAACTCTTTTAAGGTTTTTGAAAGAACATAAAAGAGAAGTCCAGTTGACTTCTACTGAAGCTCTGAAGAAATCTACTCATACATATTCAGTGTCATACATACAGGCCTTGTTGCTTTCAGCACTGTGGGAAAATATAATTACATATTTAAACCATGTGTTCACATATGTTTAACATGCTTGTGGATTTATATCATGACATGCTGAAATGCAATTACAACACGTAATCAAAGGACTGAAAGAAATCATAATGCATGAGAAAGGTTCATGTGAAATTCTACGATGTCATTGAAAGACTCATTAAGCAACGGGAAAACGACGTCATAAATCTTCCTGTATGTCTCCTCTCTGCATTCCTGTTTAGTTTGATACATCAGTTCTGCAGATAAGATTTTATATGGTACCATAAAAATGTAATTCCACAGAAACACAAACAACAAAGCTCCAATAAAACGTGCCACAGTTCAACAACTGTTAATGAACAGTAAACATATATGACTTCTCCAAAAGTTCCTTGTCTTCCTTCCGGAGTCCTGGAGCCAACACACGTGGAAGGGGAAGGTGA